GTCCCTGTAGTTGAAGTGTGGGAAAGGACTAGTTGGGGCTTCTGGGTTCAAGTGCACAATAACTCAGATATTTCTCCTGAAGAGGTGAGCTGGCTGGGGCTATCCCTTGCTCTCCTGGGGAAGATCTGATACCCTAGGCTGGTATGATTGTAAGAGGGAGGAAGCCCTCACTCCCCCTAGAAGATGAAGTCTATCTTGTTGTTGAATACAGTAGAGGTTTGGAGGAGAGCAAAGGAGGACTACAGGAAGTCTCTAACAGTTCATGATGATGGGAAGACTCATACACAAGAGGAGTCGTGAGTGCAGAATGGAAAAAGCATAAATCAGATCAAACTCTACTGTCACAATGACGAGAAAGAACTAAGTCTAAGCTAGTTCAATGTGTGAGGAAGCCTTTTTCACGTAGGGATGAGTTGAGTGTCCTAATGGAAGAGCAGAGTGAGAGGGGAAGGGTGTTTTATCTCTGCGTAGACTGAAATGGACAAGCTCATAGGGATCCCACAGATGGCTCTGTTCCCCAAAAGCAGCTGGAAAGACTAACAGCTTAGAGGATGAAGGGTTTGTATTGTTTTGGTTTTGCTTATACTTTTGAATAAAAAAAAAATGAGAATTTTAGTAGTGGGAGGTAAACCTAGGAAGATTTTTTTTTAACTTTAATAAACTAATATTGGGCTGAGGTTGTAGCCTATTTGCCCAGGCTGTGTGTGCAGTGCACTAAATTTGATCCCCAATACGACTAAACAAGCAAGCAAGCAAGCAAGCAAGCAAGCAAGCAAACATCTAATATTGAGTGAAGAAAAGCTTGAAGCTGGAGGACAGTTTTATATTCAAATGGAGGATTTGGGGCATGAACTGCAAAAGAAATTATGGTGCTTTCGGAAGTCATCTGTTCTTTTGTTTTACAAAGAGAACTCAAGAGTATCTTTAGAGGTTCTGAGATATACAGACCAAAACTCCAAGAAAACAGACAAGGTAAACATCTTTCTTCCCCTAAAGAAGAAAACTGCTCTCATTCACTGCTTTGGCCTGTACTACTCCATTTACCACGACTATCACAAAACGCTTAAGTCTGGGTACTTTAAAAGTAAAAAGTGTATTTGCTCCTAGTGTGAAGGCTGAGGCATAGCTCTCGCTATAGCCTCCCTGATCACATTACATTACAGTAAATGAAGTCACAGTTGGAACGTGTGTAGGAAGGAGAGACCGTTCTGAGACAGGAGGCCAGAGAAAAGGGAGGGCTTGCTCTTTATAGCAACTGGCTCACACAGGAACTAACTGGATCTCCTGGAAACGATGTTAATCTTCTAAAAGAGCATCTGTAATGATTTAACCACCTTCCACACAGCTCCACTGTGTGTGTGTGTGTTTCATGTTTATCTGAGCACATCTGTGTGTATGTGTATGGAGGCCGGTGTTTGGCATTGTGTGTCTTCCTCATTCATTATCCATCTTAATTTTTGATCTAGGATCCCTCACTAAACCTACAGTTTGCACTAGACTGGGTGGCTAGTGAACTGCAGGGGTCCTCCCATCTCTGTCTCCCCAGCACTCAGATTATAAGCACATGTCATCAAATTCAGGTTTTAAAAATATGAGAACTGGGCATCTCTACTGAGGTCTTGATGCCTGGAAAGCAAGACTTTTACCAAAGAAGAAGTCTCCGTAGTCCTCGGCTCCGCCTCCTAAAGACCCCGTCACCTCTCACAGCACTGCCCTGAGATCTAAACTCTCGGGTCACACGAAGCATACCTAAACCAAAGCAGCAGCTATGCGGGGCACTCTGGGCGAATGATTCTGCAAACATCATGCTACAACAAACAAAACCACCCACATGTTTTTAATAATGAATACGAAAGCAAAAAACAAAACTCTTTTTGTTTTCAAAGGATGAAAACCAAAAACTTCAGACATGAAAACAAAGGAGATAACAGAAAAGTTGCAAAGCAGATTGAGCCCCTGGAGCTAGCAGAAGCCAGTGAAAATAATTATGAGGTAGATCATACAAGAAAAAGAACACTTTCCCTTCATGCCAAACGAACAGAATAGAAAAATGTAAAAACATGGGGGGGGAACTATTCAATAGGGCAAAATTATGTCACCAAGAGCATGTAGACAATGTAGTGTTGCCCTTCTCTTCCTAAGTTCTTATAACAAGGGTTAAAAGGTTAGGGAGAAGCTAGGGAGATGGCTCAGCGGATAAAACATGGAATGGGCAAGTGTAAGCACCAGAGTTCAAGTCCTCAGGGCCACTTAAAGCAGGGAGGGTGTGATGATTCCAGGGTTCTCAAAATGGAGGCAGGCAACTTCCATTAGCTGCTAGCTAGACTAAGCGGAATTGATGAGCTCTTGGTTCAGCCAGAAGTGATGTCTAGGAAGATAAAATGGAGAGCAATGGAGGACCATGCCCAGTTTCCACTGCTGACCTCTACAAGTCAAACATGTGAACACACGCGCGCGCGCGCGCGCGCGCACACACACACACACACACACACAGAAACAAAACAACCAAGGATCCAGGTGTCATGGTGCACATCTGTATTCAGGATTTACTGAGGCAGGAGGATTGAGAGTTTGGGAACAGCCTGGACTAGCGAGGAAGACACTGTGTCAAAAAGTTGAAAAGGAATTAATTAAAAAGTAAGTAGATAAACAAACAAACAAGCAAACAAGCAAGCAAACTGACGAAGGGCCCAGTCTAGCTGCTAACAGAGATCACTGAGACGCAGGGTAGGTCCTGGCTAGGAACTCGGGGAGCAGGCCCCTACATGAAGGCTGCAGGGCAAGACTTAGCAGGAGAGAAGAGAGGGCTGGGGATCGTGTGTGGTTGGAGTCCTCCATGACCTTCTTCCTCTTCCCCTGGGTGCTGGATTACCTTCCCCTGGAAGCTGGTATTTCCTCTTTGACATTAGGACAGAGTGGACTCTAAGAGTTCTGAAGGGCCTTTGGAAGGCACACAGACAGTGTGAGGCGGGAAGTAGTCAGGGATATGGTAGTAAATCAGCTTGAAGAATAGTATATACAAATTAGTCATTTGAATCCACAGTATATCCGTGGATTAAAGGCTCTGGCAGATCGTGCAGTTAGAGAAACCAGTTCAGTTCGTCAATGTCTCCGCCAGCAGCCATGCAGAGAAGCCAGAACACTATAGGTCCCTCGCTCACTTCCTGCACATGCGTACTCAGCAGCAGCAACAGCAGCAGCAAAACCGGCCATGGCATCCGCTCTGGCTGATCAATTGCTAGTGCCTGTTCTTCCTTACTTCCCCGCGTTTCTGCCTGAAGGTTAAACTGCAGAAAACAATGTGGAGGGACTCCAAGTGGACATTTCTCCTAGGGAGACCCTCTGCATATGTCCACGCAAAGCTACAATCTGGCTTTCCATGTTAGAAAGCAGTTTTGCGGGAGTTCTGTATCTCAGCACCTCCCACTACTATGCTGATTTAGGCAACACCCGGCTTGCCGCGTTCCAGAGCACAGCTAAATGGATTTCGCTAAGTTGAGGCTTTTTGTTAATGGGGTCAGGTGCCCTGAAGATGTGGGGTGACACACTCCACTTAACCACAGCAGCTTCCACGGGTGCAGCCAGTATGGACCTACTGCTGGCTTAGGGTGCTTCCTTTCCTCATCTCTTTTTGAGTTTAACCTACAGTCATTTACACACACACCCTTAGGGTGGTGAGTGAACAGGGTGTTTTAGATCGGGAGACAAAGCTCATGTTATTTTTTTTTTCAATTCTCTGTTTTAATTATCTGATGATAGATCTTGCCATCAGGATAAAGTTCAAATCACTTAGCATCTCTTCCCGAGTACCACTGACCAGCCAGAGGTACTTGGGCTGAAACACTGGGAAAAGCCTGCTGTTTCCTCAATGGGCCATGCGTGCCATTTGCTTGCTGTTACCATAACAAGTGTGTGTGAGATGATTATCTTATGAAGAAGAAAGGTTTATTTTGGACTCCCGGTTTAGGTTTAGCCTGGGATCAGTTAGATCCTTTGCTTTAGGCCTTTGGTGGGAGTGTCACATAACAATGTCAGGGAGCACAGGGCAGAGAAAACAGCTCATCAAATGGCCAGGTAGGGAAATACAAGAGAGCGAGATTGGGGTCCCACCCTCCCCTTCAAAGACTTGTTTCCGTACCTCAAACACTTCCCTCTGCCTTTTTCAGTGTCTACTCTACCTCAAAGCACCAAGCTGGAAACCAAGTCTTTAAATACATGAGACTCTGGAGAATATTCCAGATCCACAGTAGTCCCATTTTTCCTCCAGGTCTTCCTCTCAATGTATACTCTGTATAGTCTGTTGCTGGCTGTCCTCTTTCCTGTTCTCCCAGCAAGGAGGGACAGCCAGGAACAGAATCCAAAGTCTGAGCTCGCCACTGCTCTCCTGGGCCTGCTGTACTGCCTGCCTCCTGGCCTCTGACAGTGCCCCAGGAAGAGTAATGATGGTCACTGAGTGCATGATGCTTTTACTACTGGGTTCCATGTTGAGACAGGAAAGCCATCCCACAGTCATCACTATCTATCAATCAAGAGCAGTGGGAGGGCAGAGACAGAGCTGGCACAGTCCACCCTGAGTAGGTGAGACAGGCCTGGGCCCAGTGGGTACCTTGCACAATCTTAAGGAAACAAACAAATGTTATTTTTTTAAAAATGCCCTCCAAAACTAACATGGACTAAAAGATGATAAACTGGTCCAGAAGCGAAAGTGGATTCCAAATAAGCCACCCTGCATGCAAGAGGGTGGTAGAGGGGGTCAAGGCTGGTAGAGCAGAACTGCAGGATGTTCTTCTTGTCTCAGGGCAATGCAGAGGAGCAAGCTACAGGCTGCCCTAAACTGTGGTCTCCGGGGGTTGGTAGAAGCCCACAGCTACTTTCTCTGAGAAGGAACAACAAGAATAGGTAGTTTGTGACTGCTTTATCACCTATGTATTTAATTTTTATTATTTAGTGAGAATCTCTAAAAAGTTTTTTTTCCATTCCTTTCCTTTCCTTCTTCCTCCTCCTCCTCTTCTTCCTTCTCCTCCTCTTCTTTCTTCTTCTCCTTCTAATTAAAGCTCAGTCCACCTTTGCTATCGTTCCTCAGAAACTCCTGAAGTTAAAGGAAGGGCAGCCCGGTTTCTAGACCTTTGTCTCAGCCTTGCAATCACCTCTAGGCATTCTGGATAAGTAGAAAAAAAAAAGCATGAGGCAGGGCAAGCAGGAACTGCTGCACCGATTTTTTTTCTCAGACTTTCCTCATCAGGGAATTAGGACAACAGTGACTTAACAACAAGGGTTTGGTCTCAATAAACTTATTAATGTCACTTGAAAACATAGTAAGTTGAAAATTCACTGCACACAGTTAACCTATAAAAGCAACCTCACCTAGCAACCAGGTCACAGTAGAGTCTTCTTTGCTCTTGTCAGGTCTTGGCTGATGGGAACTGAGGCTTCCTGCCCCACCCAACACTCAGGGCAGCCATTCAAATGTCAAGATATGGTGTCTCCTGAATGGACTTTGCCTTCCTGCTACAGTAAAATTAAAAAAAAAAAGCCAAATCATTAAAATTCAGAAGCCTGTGTAGTCATCAATTTCTATTAATTAAAATTGAAAACTCAGCCCCACACGAAGATAATTGTAGAGCATGGGAACCAAAGGGACAACAGGGTTCATTCAGTCCCCCTCCCCCACTTCTCACAAGGTAGAGACAGACAGGAAGATATTCGGAGCTCAAACAGCAAAAGGCTTGGTGGAATCCTGCACCTATTTCTTCTAGAGGACAGAGACACAGTTTAAGGTCCTTTTAAAAAGCCACCATTTTCCAGGTGGTTCTTTAGCAGCGGGACAGCAAACCTAAGGATGGGCAGAGGAGTGAGGAAAGCAGTTTGAAGTGACAGGCACAAAAAAGAGAGGGGCATGAGGAGGTCCCCTGAGCTGGTTTAGATTAATTCCTCTCTAAGCAAATCCTCACAGACAGGAAATGGCATAAAATATTTATGTATGAATGAATATATTGAGTTGCCCATGCCTTCTTAAAATGTCGTAATGTATGGATGCAGTTATATATCTTAATTGCTAATTCAATAAACATTATTAGCATCTACTAGACTAAACCCGTAGGGATTAGAGTAAAAGTGGAGGATATAAATATTTATAACGAGAAGGGCAAACATTCGCTGACAGTTATGCTTGATATGGCTGGACAAGCTTGGCTTATTTACCCCGAACAGTAAGTAAGGTTCTTTCCCCACTTTATAGGTGAGGAAACGGAGACTCAGGGAGTGACAGAACCTGCCTGTGGTGGCGGAGCTGGAAGGTCCCAGAGCAGATGGGCGGCAGAGCTGAGAGTCTGACTCGGGCTAGTGGGGTCCCTAACCATTAGGCTCAAGAGGGTTATGTGAGACCTCTTCCCCACGGAATGGAATAGGTGAACGCATCTGATCAAACATCACTCGCGTCAGGTCAAGACTCTCAATGAGGGGAAGAAAAAAATGAGGTGTGGTCTTCAAGTGGAAGAATGGAAAAGAAGGATCCGCGGGGAAGGAACTCACAGGCAGGGGTGAGGAACGCAGGTGAGAGGAGTGTGGGAACGTACACCTTAGAAACGGTGAGGCGGGGCTTAGCAGCCGCAAGCAACAAGTGCTAAGAAATGATACTAGGGTCAGACTGCTCACATCCCAAGGGAAGCGGTGCATCTTTAGTTCAGTGTAAGAGGTACATGTCTTGATGTAATGACGATGGAGCAAGATCTGGAGATGACAAGGTCACTAGTGGCCTTACCGGAGCTCCTCGTCATGCAAGCAAGCAGCCACCGGCTGGATGTCTAGTCTTTGGGTAATGATTACGGAGCTGTCAAGAACCACGGAAGCTACAGATGACAGTGCCAAAATGATTCATCTTCCTTTCCCATTCCCTTGGGTTTTAGTTACTCTGGAATTTGGAGATCAGCAATAGACTACAACCAGGAGGTCTGTAAGAAAGGGGAGGCATGACCAAGGAGAGGCTGGCTCCTAAAGGAAGCGTTTCTGTCCAACGTTCAGCCTAGTGATTCTGCCTTCAGATAGCTACGTGCTTGTTTAGCTAAGTCATAGATTTCATGCTAAGGACCAGAAACTAGGCTAAACCACAGACGCCAGCCAGCTGCAAGACCCCAATGCCTCTGGTAATGGCTGTTCATCTTTTCTAGTTTGCAGCCTGGGTTTTGTCTCTTTCCCACTTCCTGCCCCTAGATCCTCTCTAGCCTCCTGCTTCCTTTCCTCTGTCCCTGAGGGTTCCGAATGCCATTCCTCCTACGTTGGAAGCACAGCTCCCCCTTGTGATCATTGACCACTTACCTTGGAATCTCTCAGAGAACTGGACAAAGAAAAAAAAATCTCTGGTTCTATCTCAAAGAAAAGACTCCCAGCCTTGTCCTACCAACTGAACAACCCCAAAACCATTAGCTCCACTGAGTCTGTTTTATTTCCTAAAGTTTAAGATCCACTGTCCTGGGAATGGAGATCCCGGTGGCTTTCAGCTATCTATATTTTTTCTGTCTCCATTAAACCTTCTTTGGAGAGCGAAGAAGGCCCAGTTTCAGCATTGGACCTGTCTCCACTCTTTTTCCGTTTACGTCTCTGATGTGTTTCCTTTACCAAGGGTCAGTTTCTGAGCATGGAAATGGCGTCCCCAGCTCCCAGAGTCCAGGGGACACTTAACAGATGCTGCGAAATGAGTGACTTATTATTAGAGGGTCCCCTTCCCTTCTTTCTTTTTTTCCTCTTGACTTCTCTACTGCCCCAACCCCAACCCCAGCACTGAGCATAAAACACAGGTTTTAGAAAGTGGTTAATGTTTAAAGGGAGCCAGTCAGGCTAGGCAGGGCACGGACAGGTTGCTCAACTGACAAACAAATCCACCTGCTTTGTTGCTCCCTAAACTAACAGGAAGCAGCCAGAAGATGGTCACTCACCCGGCAGGGGCTCACACCACCTGGCAAGCCACCTACAGGGCAACAGCATGGTGTGCTGCAATAAGGAGAGGCTATAAATAGACTTTTCTAAGAAGCTGGACGGGCCTGATGCAGAGGCCTGACTTGTTGCCCTTCAAACGAATAGGGAACGCTTCTAGAAGGACACTATAGAGTGTAAGCCTCCGAGTTCATCTGCTTTCCTATTTTGTACCTGCACCTGAGAGTCTCCTAGCTTAATGACACTGGAGACAATAACAGAGATCCCTAGGAAGGTCTTCATGAGGGGACCTTCGTTCCTATTGCCCCATACTTGTCTAGTGTCTTACTCTTTATGCATGACCTTCTTTAGTGTTCAAGACTGAGGTCCTTCTCGCCTTGTCCACAAGACTAATTCTCCTACTCCTTCATTTGTTCATCTTTCCCCTCTTTAGATTCTTTGAATGCATCTCCTTTGTTTATAATTATGGTCTGCATTTTAAGCACACACACTGGTTATTTATGGATTAAATACACGCGCGTCTATCAGTTTCTATGAAATACTAGAAAAGCTTACTTTTCATAGCTAATCTTCGATAAGCAAACATGAAGAGGAGTTGTATTTTCCTCCCTGCCCACCATCAGATCATTTTGAAGACCCTGTAGTGGATATCACTGAGCAGAGTACCTGATCACTCTGCTGGGCTCTCAAAGCCTTCTGAGATCGGTTCCAAGTCACGTATTCATTCACTCGTTCATCATTTTTAAGTGGCTACTGTACTCAGGCCCTGGCATAGGCTCTGGAGCTAACAGAAAGGGTGCCCAACCTCTATTGCTCAGGAGCTCAGACTGTTGGAAGAGAGAAACACATAAAATAACTCCTGGGGAGTTCATATGTTTTGTTACAGAAGCTCGGACACCCCCCTTAAAGGGAGAAGAGAGAAATAACTGCTCGTAAGAGTCAGGAGAGGCCTCACAGGGGATTATTTGTACTGTGTTGAAAGAAGAGTGGGGGTTTGCTCTGTTATGAAACCGAGAGAGGCCCTTCTAGCACAGGGAATTCAAAGGCACAAAGGTGAAGGAGGAGACAAAGGAGGAGGAGAGGGGAGACGGAGGGGAAGGGAGGAGGGAGAAGTATACTGAGAAGGTATAAGCAGGTTACTAGACAGGCGGGGCATGCAATACAGTGACACAGACAAGGACTGGAACAAAAAGCTGAGGCCGGATGGTGCAGAGCCTTATCTACAGTGTCATTAAATTCAGCTTTCATTCCAAAGTTAGTGGTGTGTCATGGATTTGTCAAACTCTGCTCTTTCCTAAGTGGCTTTTAGCCTGTATCTCCATAGTTCCCGGGAAGGAAGGCTCTGCCATCGATTTTCTCTCTTAGTACTTTTATTAAGGAAGTGATGTCTGTGCAGTGTTCCCACAGAAGGCACTCATCTCTGAGGCTCATTAACCCACCGCGTTCCTTTTCTGAGACACTTTACCACAGAAATGCTCTTCTAGGGCTTCTGCTCCCAGAATCGACCATTAGGCGATGTGTAATGGTTGCTAGGCGTGAACCTTGCAACCTTTTCATGTCTAAGGTACTCTTTCTCAGGAGGGAAAATAACGCAGACGGTTCCTTCTCTGGTTGGTACTTTTTCTTGTTTTGCTTGGGAGGGCCACCAAATCCCTTAAGCCGTCTAGGCTTCTTCCTTGTGACCAGGGTCAGGCATTTCCAAGATCCTTCCTCCATGTTGGAGGCGTGGCTTGTATTGAGGCACTAACCCTTTCCTCTGCTGTGCTCTGCCCCGCCGGGTGCTGAGACTGCTAGGCTGAGCTCCGGGGCTTATCCTTACATGCTAAGATGAAATAAAGTGAAAAACACCATGAACCAGAGAGAAAACGTATCAAAATAGAAATGACAGCACTCGTCATCTGGGCTGGGAATGACTGTCACAGACGACGAAACGAGGAGACAAAGGGGGCTCTGGAAGCATGTGACCTCCGGGACAGCTGACACTCTGTGCGAGAGGAGGCTGCAATAAAACAGGAACAGGAACTGAACAGGAAATGAATGTGCCAGGCTCAGCCCTGGTGTTGAAAGGCACACATCCTCCCTGGTTCCCATCATCATCTCTGTCCAAAGAAGACAGGAGCTCATTTGCCGCCTCAGAACCTTGTGCCACGAAGCTGCATTATTGCACTGTACTTCAGTGCTTGGAAGATACGAGGTATCCAGTAGATACTGCCTCGTGTGTATGTGTGTGTGTGTGTGTGTGTGTGTGTGTGAGAGAGAGAGAGAGAGAGAGAGAGAGAGAGAGAGAGACACCGGGCTGCTTTCATTATTCTAGTCCAGATGAGAATCACTAAACCATTGGTTCTCTGGAAATGCTCAGAAGGGGAATGAAATAAGCATTTTTTGTTATTTTCCATACTCAGCCAGAGCTTCTGTGGCTCTTCTGATATCTTATAACAAGGAACGAGGCTAGGAAGGAAGAGACACACATAGTGAAGAAGGGACCTGACTTGACATAAGAAACAGAGGGAGCCATTCCCTACGTAACCATGAGTGTTGGCTTTGGGAGTAAGTGTGTTCGACAGAGCTCTGGTGGAACAGAACTTACAGCATTAATTTATGTAACAGAGGGAAGTTATTAGGTTGGCTTATTAAGACATGGGCTAGGTAGTTCAATGATGGCTGCCTGAAAGCTGGAGAGGAAAAAAACCTCTGCCTCAGGAAGCTGGGAGTCTCATCAGGGTGACCCGAAGACAGGTGTGTAGATACATTTTCTTGGATGCTAATTGATGTAGGGAGGTCCCGTTGTATGGTACCAAATATATGCCTGGCTATTTAAGGAAGTTAACTGAACAGGGTGCACACCTTTTATCCCCGAACTTGGGAAGCAGAGGCAGGCAGAACTCTGAGTTTGAGGCTAGCCTGGTCTACAAAGAAAGTTCCAAGACAGTCAGGGATGCACAGAGAAACTCTCTCTTGAAAAACCACACAACATAACAACAATGACAACAACGAAAGTAAGGTATCTGAATGTGAGCCAAGGATTACGTCAGTAAGCAGCACTCTTCCATGACTCCTGTTTCAGCTCCTGCTTGAGTTTCTGCCTTGACTTCCCTGAGTGACAGGCTGGGATCGGGAAGTATAAGCTGAGCTAAAAACCTTTCCTCCTCAAGTTGCTTCTGGCCTCAGTGCTTATCACAGAAGCAGAAAGCAAACTAGAAGACGCTGCTGAGAACTTCATCTGTACTGTGAGGTGATTCCAGGCTTGACTGACAGATGCTCTGGTCTATTCTGTGATGTGCTGAGAGATAGAGTGGTTTCTGGAATAAAGTGGCTGTCATGGTCTGGACATGAGGCATGCCCCAGTCGGAGGATCATGTCATTAGGAAGTGACTGGATCATGAAGTGTCTGATCTCTTCATAGGACTCATCCATCCATGGATTCATAATTTGATGGTGTCTGATGGGAGCAGGGTCTAGTTGGAGGAAGTGGGTCACTGAGGAAAGTGCCCTTAGAAGTTAACACCCTGTTTCTACTGCTTTCCTGACTTTCTCTGCGTCCCGGCCATCATCAAGTGAGCATCAGTTGAGCATTAGGTGAAACTGGATGCTCTGCTTCACCATGGGCCCCAGGAACCACAGGCTGCAACCTCTGAAGGTGTGAGCCCAGAGAGCCAACTTACTCATTGTCGTTGTTTCTCTCTGGTATTTGCCAAAGAGATGAAAACCTACCACTGTGCCACATGAATGGAGGTTCAGATAATTTCACAAGTGTGGACCAAAAGTCATAAAGTCTTCAGAACACATACATTTGTGGTTATATATGCTTCATATGTTATTTATGTAGATTTAGAGATGTTTTTCTTTTAACCATTCGTGCTAATTTTGGCTTCTCCCTGTTACTTGCCTTTAACAAGGCTTGGGAGACTATGGCCTGTGTGTCAAGCCCTGCCTATGGGTTTCTGTGCCATCTATGAGGTTGACAATAACTGTCAGGGTTTCCAGGAATATAC